TACAGCCCGACTGTGTCTCCAATTAGGAACTTAAGGTTCATTTAGTAATTTACATCTGGTTCTGATTTAAGGTGACTTTCCTCTTCCACTTAAGAGCTGACTTTCTGTGGCTAAAAGGGACCCTCGGACCAATCCCTCTTGCTTCAAAGCTGGACAGACTCTTTCACTGAGGAGGGTTTAAGTCCTTCCCTATTGTCACTGTGGATCCAGATCTTACAGTTCGGTGACCAGAATCAGAGACTTCAGAGATAACGGGCATAGATAAGAAATTTAGCTGAAATCTCAAAAAAAAAAGATGCTGAGGGTTGCTGAAACTCCAAGGAGCCTAATATAAAGGGCGTGATATTGTTAAGTTATTATTTTTCATTCTCCGTAAGTTCCAGTCAGTGAGAGATAAATAGCAAAGACCAGCATTGCAGCAATACGTCTGTTTTATTTCCCTCTCTCCATCTGGTGCCTTTTGAACAACTTAGTCTGCTTCTGAAATGGGCTCTCCATTGTCTTACGATTCATTAGCATTTAAAACCTCTGGTTGGAATCCCAAACACAATCCCGCTTCCATTCCAGATTCTGCACCATCTTCCGAAGTGTGAAAACGGAGAGATCTCTGATATGTGACGTTCGCTCGGTGGCGTTGGTAGGAATGATTCATAAGGGAGGTTTTGCGTTCCTGGAGGGTTTTTAGCGCTTCGTTCAGCTCCCTTTTGATTTTCCTTCTCCTGTGACATTCTTCACAGAAACCAAAGTACATATCGTTGCTCACTCCATGGATTCTGAAAATAAAGATCTGCCCTTCTGCTGTGCCTTCTCATTCCCGCCTCGCCTCCAGGACGCGGAAGCACACGATATAAACAGACAGCGGCTGTATTAGTCATGTTCCCTCTGGCTGTCAAGAAAACATTCAGTTGTAATCTCCCTAATAGCTGTTTTTCCTTAAATATTGTGATTTTCTGAGCCCCTAATAAATCATCAATAATTTTGTCCATTTTCCCACAGTTTGTGTTTATATTTGTCGCTGTTCATAATTGTGGGCTATTACGACAACAGGATTTTTGAACAATTGTGGCACATGAAATCCTAGCTTCCTACTCGACCCAGCTGCCGACTCAATGCCAACAGCATCACATGGGGCTCTTGCCACACGCCTAAATTTTGGAAGTTTAATGGCCTCAAGTTTAATCGGCTCCGGCGACGTTCTTTTAAAAAGACGTAGCAGTGTGCGCGCTCCCAAATTTGAATATTCAATGAGAGTAAAATGCAATTAATTTAAGTTCGAAACAGAGATATTATATGATGTTGGCAGAGTGAGTCAACACAAAGGAAAGAACAGGTGGCAATACACCATAATAACACTTTGGGATATTTTGCTAAAATGCTCTCAGTGCCCAAATGTGCATTCGAGGTGGGCATGTTCGCTTTGCTGGCAATTCTTGCGACGTGGGGGAGAAAAGCTGCCACAGAGCGGCGGAGCGGTGGCCCGTCTGATGCCCTGCGCTCCCTTGTGTAGGGATGGTGTCTGACTTCATTCATTTGACCCTCTCTCTGCTTGAACCTGGGGCGGGTCTGGATCCTCTGCACTTAACAAACCATCGTCTGTACCAGACTCTTTAGCTTCCCTAGCTTTAGTAAGCAAGATCATCTTGTAAGAGGGGAGGAAAAGCTATGATGGCCCCCTGTTAAGTCAAAGGAGCATAAAGCCTGGGGACAAGCCGTTTGAGTGACCCACCCTGTTCCCAATATCTTGTGTTGGTAATGGCGCTAACTTCTTAAATATGAACCTAAAATTTTTAATGTTTTTTTAATTTTTGAGATAGTGGAGGGGGGGGGGCGGGCAGAGAGAGACACACAGAATCCGAAGCAGGCTCCAGGCTCTGAGCTGTCAGCACAAAGCCTGATGTGGGGCTCAAATCCTCGAACTGCGAGATCATGACCTGAGCCGAAGTCGGACGCTCAACGGACAGAGCCACCCAGGCACCCATTAACTTTTTGTTTAATCAGAGAAAAAAAAGGTTATTTTTATTAAGGTATTTTCCTAAACAATCTTGGCATAGCTTTTTAACACCTGGGTTCTGAGCACGAAATTGCTTTCAAATATCCAGTGAGTTATACAGGCCAACTACTATGTAATTTCAGCCTTTATTTGTAAAACAAATACTTCCTCCGAACTCCGACTATTTCTGCTAAGAAAGAACTTACAGGTGGCCTCGTTACAAGTTACTTAGTACACTGGAAAAAAAAATGCAAAAGAGAAAGAGGAAAAAGTTTGTCATCACATGTATATGATTAAAAATCCTTAAACGTTACACCATAGCTATGATTCTATCTACATTAGAAGGGCTCAGCCTCAATTTGAAAGGCAGTATGGGAGAATGGGAGTAATTTTCCTTTTTAACATGACAGTTGAGAATACTGAAGCTCATATTCCTTGGGTCTGTAAATACTTTATATGGTCACACAAAAAGAACGTGGAATATTATCTTAATGTTCCCCTCCTGCTATAATAAAAATAAACGGCCTTATTATAATAGAATTAGTAGGAACAACCTGAAGCATTATATTTGCTGCCTTGAGGAACTGCCTGATTCTCATCATATGAGTATTGTTCTTTTCCACCCGAAACGTGACTTTTCACACTGATAACGTGAAGGACCAATCATGGGCTAAGGAGGGCATTTGTACACCGCCCCCTTTGAAACCACTGGTCTTAAAAATCACACTATCGAGCTCCCGAATTCCTTTAGTGAATGTGGAAAACAATTAGGGAAAGGTATCTGGGGTCAGGGTGATGATAAGAGGCGTCAGATGAGTGACAGCACAGGCTACTAATGTTTTGTGGAATAAAACTGTTGGCAAAGTCGAAGCTAAAGAAGCACATATGAGCCTTGGAACAGCACCCCCAGCTTAACTGCTGAGTCTTGGGTGGAGGGGAGGGCTGAGTCTTCGGGAGGGAACTGTGTATGTCCTCTGATGTATGACACTTGTGGCAATCACTTTCTGAATGTCTCCTCTGGGAAATTTCATCTCACCAAGCAAAAGAGTTTATAGTATTGAAGCCTGGTACATATCTGAGGATACACACAGGGGTGTTCAAAGTTGAGAGAGGGGCACATTCTGGTACGTGTGTCATCAGGGTTGGGGCTGGGAGGCATTATGCTTACAAAATCCAGAGCAGGGATGGGGCTGGCATTCCTGGTCTATGTGCACTTACTTTGTTCAGCAATGCTCGACTGAGTGGAAGAATGAAGTCACCGTAGAATCTCACCGGTGAATGTCCAACATCAACTGGAAACCATCCCTCAGCTTGGGGGGTGTGAGAGCGAATTTATCTGTGATAGGCTAGAAATCAGCTCAAAGATCCCAAAACAATGATATTATGTGTTCAATAGAATCACAGAATCCATCAACCACCTTCTCAATAGTGAGATGGATGTTTTAATTGAGTGCACAGAGAATGTTTCCATGATGTGCTTTCTGTCCTGGAAGATGACTCCTACAAGATGGCGCCCCAGACCGTAGGCCTGGGCTTTCCTATGAAATCACCTCTGGGCTGGCAATCTTGAAAAGGACATAAGAAAATGGATAGAGATTTCAGACTATAAAAGGAAGCTTTGACTTACAGAAAAGAAGGCTTGGGGAGAACAGGGAAGATGGACAGGTTCTATGTTCCTTAGCAACTGGTTCTACCATTATCATCATAACTGACTGCATAGAATAAGTTCTAGTCACAATAATTCTATGTACCAGCCAAGTAATCTTAGATGAACCGTGCAACAGAACGAGGGACTCCGTTTTGTTCTCTGCTAGATCTCGAGTGTCCAGACCAGAGCCTTAGGGCACATAGTAAATGTTCAACAAACACTTGTTGAATGAATACATGAATGGATTGAACTATCTGGCTCTATTTCATAATCTGCAAAATTTAAATACAAGCGTCCAATGAGCACTCAGCAGAACAAATGAGGGAAATCATGCAAAAGTTTTCTTAGAAGAGTAAGAAACTATATACATTTAGATGTTGATATGTATTCAAAACATATAGGTACTTCTAGATGTACATCGCTTTGAGGCTTTCTGTTCCTTACACACTTTCCTGGACCTGATGAGGAAAGGTGAAGGTCTCTATCAAGAGTCAAGTGCGAGATTAATACACCATTGATACCGTTCAGTACTCTGCAACGGCTGAAGCTGCATCCGTGGAATTGTTTCAATGACTGTCATTTAATGATAATGTTGGCCAATTTTTTTTTCGTTCCAGCAATGGAATTCTAGATGGTGACCATGACAATCTTGTCCATGGTTTAGAAATGCGGGAACAGTATTGGTTCTTTGTTGAGGTGGGCTACATCTGTGTGCCGAACTCTTAGCTATCTCTGTGATTCCCATCCTCCTTCAGACCTTCTGGGCTACTTATGCTGTGGCTGAGATGCTCCCCGTGGCCCTCCCTAAGCATGATCCTCACAGCATGGCAATCCCCACTAGAAAAATATAACCAGGCATCTGCTCCCATTTAATACAGCCTAGAAATGTAAGTACATGTGGGATTGAATAACACACTCTGGTGGTCTTTAGGGAATGTTTATGGTGCGTTTGGCAAAGAGCAAAGAAGGTTTTGATGACCCAAGGGTAAATGGTAAGCGCTAAAGAGATGCGTGTACAGTTTTCAAAATAATTCCAGTAATTTTTTTTTTAGTCTTTCTGATCACATTGGCAACATTAAGGAATGATGTAATCCTGGCTGGGACATGTAAAAGTCCTTCCAATAGCAACTACGGTATATAAACTTTGAAGTAAAGGAAACTAAGATGCTATTTACGAAAGAGTAGCAGAGGAGTATACACTTACGTGAACGTCTCTTAAAGTCTTGTTCCGAAAGGGCACATTCTCAGCCTTAATTCTGGCATCGGAAAACATCACCCAGAGTCCCCCGAAGCCATGTTTTTAGAGTGCATACCCGTTCTTAAATCACATTGATTTCCAGCCCACTCTGCCTTCTTTCTTACCTGTTTTTGCTCTTCTCCTAAACCATCCCACATTGAAGCCACAATTTTAGAGACTTCACCAAAGGTAGCATTTGGATTTTGGCCCTTGATGGCAGCCTGGGTATCACGAAAGAACAATGCATATGCAGACACAGGCTTCTGAGGCTCATTTGGGTCCTTCTTCTTCTTCTTTTTGGGGGTTTTTGGCTTCTTCCCCATGTCAGATGCAGGTCGCTTCTCTCCACCGTTGATCTGAAATAAATAATCAAATAAGAATTACAGAGGAACTGAGAAAATTCGGCAATGTATCATTGCTTTAGTGGCTTCCACAGCTCTACTGGTTCACACTCATCGCGCAAACCTGGACATTCCTGAGGGGCACTTGGGTTGGTCGCTGTTGTCTTTCAGATAAAACTACCTTCATATTTCCTGTAGTTTCCATATTTATCTTTCTTTCAGCCTAATTTACATAGGTTTAAAATAGCATTATTGATGCTTTTTATAATATTCTACCATTAAATATTATCCCTTACCTGTCAACTTTTCATTTTTCTCATTCAGGAAGCCAAACGAGAAACAGCATTGTAACTGGGACACCAACTCTTGTGGTGAATCTATTGTCTGAACCATCTAACTTGTTTTCTTTGGGGCAGTGTAGCCTTTCTTCCAAATTATCATCTTAGAACCATGGTGGGTGACGCGTCCAATAATCAAGCTGAAGGGTGTTTGATGTTGACCTTAGATCTATGGAAGGCTATTGGGAAGACCTAGCAATGCTCATGGTTTAGTGACTGGCATTATCTAAGCAGATGGGTGCTGTAATAAGGATAAAGTTCTATCATCTGCTTATTCAAAAGGGTAGCCACTTGCCATACAGAACTAATGAGCACCTGAAATGTGGCTAGAAGAAACATGGAGCAAACGTTAAAGTATCATTTCATTTTGAGTGCTTGAAATTTAAATAGTTACATGTGGGCGTGGCTATCATATTGGAAAGTGCATCTCTGGAAAAGAGATTCTAGAGTCTAGATCTTTCTAGAACAGCTCTATACTCAGCAAAAAAATTTTTTTTCACATTTTTTTTTAATTTTTGAGAGACAGAGGAAGACAGAGTGTGAGCAGGGAAGGGGCAAAAAGAATAGGGACACAGAATCTGAAACAGGCTCCAGGCTCTGAGCTGTCAACACAGAGCCTGACCAAGGGCTCGAACTCACAGAGCTGAGCTGACAGTTGGACGTTTAACCAACTGAGCCATCCAAACGCCCCTCTATGCTCAGTTTAAAAATTGGTTCTGTTTTCTTCATTGTCCTCAAGAATGAATATTCTGGTGATTTTAATTGTTATTCTGATGCAAGTGGGAAAAGAAATACTGGTTTTAAGACATCTGCATTTGACTATTGTCTTTGACATTAGCGAATGATATGGGATGTGACTTCACCTCTATAGAATGAGAGATTTGGGCTAGGATTTCTCTCTGGCTCTAAAATTCTATGAATCTCCATGAATATCAAATAGTGCTGCCTCTGTTGGAAACCTCTGCTCATTGTGGCCCCCACCAACATAAAGGCACATGTGCCCTCTCTCCGGATAATGTCGCCTTCATCACAGGAGGTACACTGTACCTTCCGCTTGTGCTGTTGCTGCTTCTTTCTTCTCCGTAAACATATGTACAAGCAATGCATATCTTATCCAGACAAATCAGTAGGCAGCATAGTTTGTGTAAACTAACGGCCAGCAATGGAGAGCAAACCAGTGGATATGACGCCAGAGGATCTAGACTTATTCCCTTCTTTGCTATTTTTAGCTCTGTAATCTTGAGTAAATTATAGATTTCTCTGGGCCTCCATTTTTTCTATTGCAAACCAGCTGCAGTGCCATTTTGTGGTTACTGAGATGGTATATATTTATATTTGCTTAAAACGTTAAAATTTTGATTACGACATGGTAGACACACAAAAAATTCACTGAATGAGTGGAAAGAAATTTGGGATGCCATACTGTCAGAGTTGAAAAGCTATGCTCTGAGAACTAGAGAGAGACAAGAGAAAAAGCTACGTGAATTCTTTGGTTTTGTTTTTAGTGAGAACGATAACTAAAATATTGTCATTTTGAAATTGTCTACAGAGGGAGATCAAACACCCCTGTGGGGACAGGATGCCTTGAACCCCGTGAACTAAGGTAGATTAGTGCTAGCAGATCTCTTCCCCAGGATGGATCTGAGAGGCGAGCCTGTGAAATGCTTGGTCCCCATGTAAAGCTGTGAGATGTCTAGCCTGTTAAGCCTGAGTTGATCTTGGGTAAACTGGTGTTAGCTCTAAACTAAACATGTGGGCAAATGTGGCCGCAAACGGTGGCTCTCCAATGGCTGTCCATTAGAATCGCCTGGAAACTTCTACATAATATTCGATGCCCAGGCTTTACTCTACAGTAATGAAGCAGAATGCTTATGAATAGGAGACATTGGCTTCAGACACACACTCAACTCTAGGGTTCTCATGGTATTTAAGTATGTGAGAGACAAAGCACACAAAAAAGTCACTTTTCGCTTTGCTCCTACGGGCTACACACAGCCATATCTTTCTTTCCTCTCTTCATAACCAAACTCTTCCATGTGGTCGCCTGTGCTGGGTGTACACAGCTTCTGCAATTTATTGCAGTGTGCCTTCCCCAGCACTTTGTTCTCAGGTAAGGTCACCAAGGGCCACTTTGCCTTCCTGAGGTCTTTTGCTGTAAACTGTCTTGTCTTACGAGTTTGTACTTAGGGAATCTCCGAAGTACACGGTTTCCATTACCTTTTGTGGGTGGATAACTGTCCAGCTCATGTTTCCCTGAATTTTGAACACACTGAAACAACTCCTATTTGACATCTCTATTTGCAAGTCTGTTTTCTTTTTTATTTGTTTTTATTTTTTAATTTAATTTTTGTTATCTTAATGTCTATTTCTTTTTGAGAGAAAGAGACAGAGCGTGAGTTGGGGAGGGGCAGGGAGAGAGGGAAGCACAGGATCTGAAGCAGGCTCTAGGCTCTGAGCTGTCAGCACAGAGCCTGATGTGGGGCTTGAACTCATGAACCATGAGATCATGACCTGTGCTGAAATCAAACGCCTAATCGACTGAGCCACCAAGGTGCCCCCAAAGGTCTCTATTTTTAAAAAATAAAATGCACTTTGAAGGGAATCGGTGTTCCTCATATGAAGACTTATTGGGTATGCATAACATCTTTGTTTTTAGGTGCAGCATAATGGAATGACAATTCCCCCTTGTAGTTTAATATCTAATGTATCCAAGTACTCGGGCAGTGCTATGCGGAGTTTAAGGGTGCCTGCCACATGAATCTCCAGATTTTTTATTTTTCATTTTTCTTGTGTTCCTGAGGGGACAGAAATGAGCTATTATTTTGATTCTGTTTAACAAACCGGGGATTTGGACGGTCTACTTTCTGGAGGCAGCTCCATCATGTATTTGAAAAGCACGTGGTCATTGCTCATATGCAAAGCCTCCCCAAGGGAAAAAAAAAGTTATATTTTGGATCCACTTACACGCCAGTAACAGATTGCATTTTGAAAGACACCTGGCTTTTTTGACCACCAACTACTTGGGATGAACACGATGGTGACTATCATTGTGGTGGAAGAATTAGCTAAATGGGTTTGTAATAGGCCCCTGAACCTTAATTGTGAATATTGTCTAGATCCTGAATTCCCACTTAGATGGATGAAAGCTTATAATCTTACATCCCAATTTTCTGAGAGGCCCTGACTTCTAAAGTCTAGAGCAGCGTTATCTCATAGAATGTTCTGGAAAGATGGAAATATTCTCAGTGCTGTCTGAAAGGGTAGCCGCTAAGCACATATGGCTATAGAGCCACAACTGCTAACATGTGCTTTCTGTTTATTTGATTTTGATTAGTTACACTTAAAGGTACTGTCATGCTTGACTTGTGGTGACCACCCGAGCAAGCAGGGCCTTGTGTCCTGGGCATTGTTTTAGAGCGCAACATTTCTAAAGTTACTAGGGCTCTAAAACGAGAGTTAAATTTAATCCCAACAGCATGAGCTCTCGAATAGAGAAGAAACTGTATAATGCAAAAGTGTAAACTCCCTGTGACGACAAGCACATTCAAAGTCAAGACCAGGTGGCGTTAATCTGTCCTCTCTCCCAGCGTCGGTCGGTATGGGGTCTTGCCTTGGGTGGGGGTTACAAGACAAACGGCACTGGAAACACAAGTAAAAGTTGTGTGAAAATCAAAACAACGAAGAACATGGCTGGGTTGAAGTCCTAACTGGAATCCTGATCTCCGACAGATTTACTTCACCTTCGATTAAAGCACTAATGAATAAATGAACACATACACAAATGCATCAATAAATACTACTCTCCTGGAAGCCAAGGCATCTGCGTAACACCTCTTGTAACTTACTTGTAGACATAGATTTATTTTGAAAATCCCTAGAGGTGTCCTTAGGCTCCTGGTAACCCACTCTTGTCATGTCTTATTGCTTAATTATAGTGATGTATTTAACTTATTTATCACAAGAAAACAATAATTTTTCACTTTAAAAAAGCGTGTGTTAACGGTGTGGCTTAGATAATACTTCTTAAGAATACAGAGTACACGTGTTAAGACTCTCAAGGAAAGAGAATCACTGATATTGAAATGTCCCTGGAGAAGTTAGAAACGTCTATAAGCATATTTAAAATAAACTGCCGCGGTCCCAAAGCCTTTAATGGTGCTGGGAGAGCTGTTTAATGCACACTATCTTGCAGTAATCGCTGGAGTTTAAAATAGATTTTAATCAAGCACCATCTGCATAATAGGCTGAACAAACAACATGGAACTCCACTTATAACTCTTATCATATAAAGTAAATATTATAAAATCTTCGCCATAGAAACAGGGCATATCACAGAACTTTTTGTGGTGGTGCTGTTGCTGTAAGTGAAAAATTTTCCTCCTTAAATTCATTCTCTCTTTTCTCTCTAAACTATGCTGTCCAAAATCCCCTTATGAGAATAAATTCAAATAAGCATGGAAAGTAAGTCATCTAGTTACTGTGAAATCAGCAAGGCTGTAATAATACTTCTTTCATTTTGCAATCAGGTTTATTATTATCATTAATAATAACAGTACAGTCAATGACTCAAAACATCAATTATAAAAAAAAGTTTATGAAATGCTATACTCTTGAAATGATTCACCAGTGTGAATCGTTATCATCGTTTGTAAAGCAAATTCATTTTTAAGGATCCCT